ACAGAATTGGGCCAAAATCAGGCCAAAACAGACTATCCACAGAAGGAATTTATGCATAATAAAGAGCTGGTGTTCACAAACGTGAGCACTTTGCATCCACCTATTGAAATCATAGAGCGGCTGGATAGCCCGCCATTCAAAGACGATAGGCGTCCGATACATAAAGCGACAAACCCTAAAAGTACGTTAGCTAATAATTGACAAAGATTTGATTGTGATAAAGCCAATCTTAAATTTTTATCATGGAACATTGCTGGTTGGCTCAACAAGGCGACTGACCAATCATTTGTCAATTTTATTCAAGATCATGATATAGTCTTCTTGCAAGAGACATGGCTAACAGGGGATCTAGATGTAAATGGTTTTGCCTCATTTTCGCTCGCAGGCTCACCAAGCAACAAAGGGGGACGAGTTAAGGGTGGGCTAGGCATTTTAATATCCACAAGGCTGAGAGCATCTTTCGTCGAGCTGGAGCCTCTGAGCAGTGTGGCCATGGCATTATTGATGAAATGCAGATATTGCACACTTCTATTGATTAATATATATGCCCCTCCCCAAAGAGGCAAGCAGCTTATCAAAAATCTCTGGCATAGGATAGAATCTTATGTCGATGAGCTAATGAATCAAACTCCTGCTGCGGCAGTGCTGCTGGCTGGGGATTTAAATGCCAGAATTGGCCAATCAGACGAAGCGTTATATGCTCATTTTCACGACGTACCTCCCATTTCTGAAGAAGCCCATTCTATTCCCCCAAGGCTCTCAAAAGACAAGGGCTGCAATTACGCAGGCCTATGCCTTCTACGTTTTTCCAACAATCTGGATTTGACTGTATTAAATGGTCGTGTCGACAGAGAACCCAGTGGGGAATTTACATTTATATCCAACATGGGAGCCTCCACTATCGATTACGTCCTGGTGTCATCTAACCTTTTGAGCAGAGCACGGGAATGTAAAGTGGTGGAGAGGGTTGACAGCGACCATCTACCGTTCTGTTTAATACTGGATGTAAGAAAAGATTTATTTTGCTCTGATAAACTTGTAGCCCCATGCTTCGAAAACATGGAGCTAAGATACTCACGTATTAAATGGTCCAGCAAATTGAGTGATGAAATATCGGAAAGACTTCACTCAGATATTTTTCTTGCTAGAAAGGAGAACCTCGTTAATTCCCCAACTCCTGAGGCCAGATTAGACATGTTCCGGGAACTGATTTCGTCGCTACAACCTTATCTGACCAACAAAAAACGCCACGGCAATCTCTACACTTTAATAAATCCAAACCTTGGTTTGACCAAGAATGCATGGCTATGAAACGCCTCCTGCTGGATAAGTACAGGAACTATAGAACAGCGAACTTACCTTCGCTTCCATTAGACTGGTTTGAGTCAAAACGCAGTTATAAAGCTTTGATTAGCAAGAAAAAGCTCCAGGCACAAAGGGAGGAATGGCAGTGCCTAGTGGAGGCCTCCCAAAGGAAAGATTCTGCCACGTTTTGGAAAATAATTGCAAAAAGCTGGAGAGACTCCCGATTGAAATCGAATACTCTATACCCGCTGGAGCATGGGAGGCCTATTTCCTCTCATTATATTCATCAAATCAACTGGCCCCAGCTCTGCTTCCTGCTTCAAGTGAATTTGGTAAGGAATGGCCCCTGTAACCATAGAAGAAATTACTGGACTTATTCAAGCTCTTAAATCAGGGAAAGCCCTGGTGCTGACAATATCCCACCAGAAATTCTTAAGGCAAATGTCGAATGGTGGGCCCCTGTGCTAGCCGCCTTGTTCACTAGTATAAATCAAGCGGCTATTATCCCCGAGGACTGGGGTTTAGCCATCATCATTCCAATATTTAAGAAAGGAAACAGAACTGAGCCAGCTAACTATAGACCAATCAGTCTATTAAGTATTATTAGCAAACTGTATGCTGCTCATTTATGTGATAAATTAGTGGAGTGGATGGAAAGAGAGCATATTCTATCAGAAGCTCAAGCCGGTTTTAGAGCAAAGCGTTCAACTATAGACCAGGCCCTTACCCTTCAACACCTGGCAGACAAATATTCTAGAAAAGGGGGGTCTTTATATGCAGCATTCGTGGATTTTAAATCGGCGTTTGATCTAATACCAAGGGATAGACTCTGGGAAAAGCTTGGCGCTACAAACATAGATAAACGCTTATTACGCCTTATCCGTGGTCTATACGAAAACACCAGGGTGAGGGTAAGATGCGATCGGTCAGGCCATCTAACTAAAGAAATTCAAACGCACTATGGGGTTAAACAAGGATGTGTCCTCGCGCCAACGCTATTTAATTTCTATATCAACTCTCTAGCAGTAAATATGGCGAAAGAAAATGCCCACCCTCCCAAACTGGCAGGTATTCCCATCCCGGTGCTTCTGTATGCGGACGACGCAGTCCTACTCTCCTTTTCCTGCATTGGCCTGAGGAAGCTTTTGAGATCACTTGCTGACTATTGTCAAGCGGAACAACTATCAATAAATTACAGCAAATCTAAAATTATGGTGTTTTCAAAAAAGAAGGAAACACAAATGGAGAATTAATGGTCAACCTATTGACCAGGTAGCAACTTTCAAATACCTGGGAATAACTTTTCAGGAAAGGGTCTCGTGGCATCAACAGATGAAAACGCCATTGCCAACGCAGGAAGGGCTAATAAAGCCCTTACAAGATTTTTTCACGGGAAAGGGGGTAAATACGTTCCGGCGGCCTCCCAGGTTTTTGCTGCAAAAATACTCCCACAACTTACTTATGGATCCCAGGTTTGCAGTTTTATAAATTTTGCGCCTATGGAGGCATTTCAAACAAAATTCTATCGGTGTTTATTGGGGATCCCCCCCTGTGTATCTAATATAGCTGTCCGCTTAGAAGTTGGACAACCACCCGTTAATGCGCGGCTGTGGATTCTAAAGATACACTACTGGTTAAAACTGATTTTTGCCCCGGCCGGTTTGGCTCCTTTAACACTCTTAGACACCTTTCATTCCACCTGGAAAGCTTCCCTGTTTGAAAAGATAAGAAGCTTGGGATTCTCCCCGCAGATCTTGATAGCGGCAGGATATGAGAGAGCCAGAAGTCAAGTGCTCCAACGCATTAGGGACATAGAGCTGCAATGTCATATGGGCAAAATGGATAAACATGCCATAATTAGAGACTTTGGGAGAGGGTTCTCACCCGCAAATTATTTGGCTGATTTACAAATACCTAAGTACAGACACTCCTTTACCCTGGCCAGATTTAACGTTCTGCCCTCTGCCCTGCTGCTAGGCAGATATGAGGGCAAACCATATGAGTCACGTGTTTGCCCGTGTGGCTCATCGGAAGTGGAAACAAGTCTGCATGTATTGCTGCACTGTAGTTACTATGAGGATCTACGCTTGACCTTTATTGCCCCAGTTCTACAAAAGCTTAAAAATGAACCAGAACTCCAACGTATGAGAGCCTTGGTAGAAGATAAGGTTTCTGAAATTACGATCAATGTGGCCAAATTTTGTGTAGCCGCTATTAGGCGCAGGAAACAAGAGCTTTCCAATGTCATTACGCAGGCGAAGGCAAATACTTAATTTTTTATTTATGCTGTCTAATTTTAAATTGCAGTTATGTATTGAAATTGTCCTTTGTTTTTTCCGGTGTTATGCTTCGCTGACTAGCTGTACGAGTTAATCTGGTCTGTGACCGTTTAATAAATTTGATTTGATTTGATTTGATTTGAATCCAAACTCTTCTTCTACTCTTCTTCTTGTTTGTCCACAGACAGCTTTCCGGGTCATGTGGCCTGCATGACTAAACCGCTTCTGGTGCAACAGAACACCATGACGGAAAACAGAGTGCAGGAAACACCATTGACCTTCCCGCTGCAGTGGTAACTATTTATCTACTTGCACTGGTGTGCTTTCGAACTGCTAGGTTGGCAGCAGCTGGGACAGAGCAACGAGAGCTCACCCCATCGCAGGGATTTGAACCACCAGTCTTCCGATTGGCAAGCCTGAGAGGCTCAGTGGTTTAGACCACAGCACCACACCTGTCCCCTACAGCAGGGGTAGCCCACCCAAGCAAGGTGAAGAGGCCCTGGAGAGTGGGGGAGGGCAGCAGATCTGCGCCCGCCTCCACCCCCTGCGTGCCGCTGCTGCCTGCTCCCCTCTGGGAAGAGCGGGACACAGTGACAAGAGAGTCGGCTGGTGGAAAAAAGTGCTCAAAGAAGTCAGCCTCCCTTGCCGCTGTATCTCTCTCTCTTCGCTCTCTTGAACCCAAAATAACCCCCTTACTCAAGCAGGTTGGCTCACAGCCGCTGTGTTTCTTCATTTCCAATGCTGATCTTCATTCCCCTCATGTCTGATATTCGCCAAGGGAGGTCAGTGTCAGGAAGAAAGTGTGGGCGAGGATCAGCATCAGGGTGGGGAGGCTTGAGAAGCAGCAATTGTATGTGGGTCATTGCATATGTCAGCAGTTGCACATAAGCCCGTTCCACCACCCCCACTACATTCTGACCCCCGCCGCCACCGCTGCCATTTTGCCCCTGTTCTGCCCGCTTCTGGGGCTGAAAATGATGCTCATATTAGCAGTCGTGCATCAGTTGGATCATGAGTAAGCAAACTAAGGCCTGGGGGCCGGATCGGGCCCAATCGCCTTCTAAATCTGGCCCATGGACGGTCCAGGAATCAGTGGTTTTACATGAATATAATGTGTCCTTTTATTTAAAATGCATCTCTGGGTTATTTGTGGGGCATAGGAATTCGTTCATCCCCCCCCAAAAAAAAAAAATATATAGTCCGGCCCCCCACAAGGTCTGAGGGACAGTGGACTGGCCCCCTGCTGAAAACATTTGCTGACCCCTGAGTTGGATGCATACAAAATGATCACCGCCTGTATACAAAAGCACCCTTAATAAACTACAATTGAGGGAGGGAGTTTTTTTTAATTTGCCTCCAGTGCCCAAATGTCTGGGGCCTTCCCTGATTTGCAGAGTAACATTAGCAGGGGGACAGGCCATTGCTCAGGGGTAGAGAATCTGCTTTGCAAGCAGGAGTCGCAGGTTCAATCCCCGGTATCTCCAGGTTTGGCTGGGAAAAACTCCTGTCTGAAATTCTTGGAGAGTTGCTATCAGTCGGTGTCGACCAGCCTTTTCCAACCAGGTGTTCTCCAGATGTTTGGGGCAACAACATTTTTCATTTCAATTCATTTTGCTTTTAATTAGTATACAGCCTTTCTATATGCAAGGGGTGAAGAAACGACAAAGATCTCACACCCTTGTAACAATCGGCTCCAATTAAAACAAAGTAGAGCAGAGACTGTACTTTTTGAGAATACTAAGGAAAAACCATCTTCCGCAGAAACTGCTGCTTGCCTTCTATCACTGTGCCATTGAGAGCGTGCTCACTTATGGCTTATGTGTGTGGTATGGAAGCTGTACTACCCAGGACAGGATGGGGTTGTGCAGGGTTGTTAAGGCAGCAGAGAGCATTGTTGGCTGCCCACTCTCCACCTTAGAGCAGATTTATGCCACAAGGTGCCATAGGAAGGCACTGGACATAGTAAAAGATCCATCGCATCCTGGTCACTGTCTCTTCGAGCTCTTGCCGTCGGGACGGAGATACAGGACGATGAAGACAAGAACGAGCCGTCTTAAGAACAGCTTCTTCTCCAGAGCGATCTCGGCCCTGAATGGGAAGCCCAGACTTTGAAAGTCATCTAATCTCCCTTGCTGTATTATACTGTATTGATTAATTAGAGTTTTTATGGAGCAGTCAAGTAATTTCGTTGTCCCCGAAGGGGGCTATGACAATAAAGATATTATTATTATTATTATTATTATTATTATTATTATTATTAAAAACAACTTGTATCAAATAAAGTAATTTTCAACAATCCATTAGGCTATCATAAAGGTAAAGGGACCCCTGACCATTAGGTCCAGTCATGGCTGACTCTGGGGTTGCAGCGCTCATCTTGCTTTATTGGCTGCTTTATTGGCTGAGGGAGCCGGTGTACAGCTTCCGGGTCATGTGGCCAGCATGACTAAGCCGCTTCTGGCGAACCAGAGCAGCACACGGAAACACCGTTTACCTTCCCGTCGGAGTGGTCCCTATTTATCTACTTGCACTTTGACGTGCTTTCATACTGCTAGGTTGGCAGGAGCAGGGACCGAGCAACGGGAGCTCACCCCGTCACGAGGATTCGAACCGCCGACCTTCTGATCGGCAAGTCCTAGGCTCTGTGGTTTAACCCACAGCGCCACCCGCGTCCCTAGGCTATCATAGTACACAATAAAATGAAATATCAGCAGGTAACTCTTAACCATTACGATAAATAATTGCAAGGCTATAATCAATAAAAACAACATCAAGTCTCAATACATAAAAGGCCACAAAACATACAAAACTGTAAAAGGGACAAAATGAAAAGCAAAGAGAAACAACTTATAAAATTATCTTCTCTCTTCCCAGCTGCTTCTGCTGTTCTTAAAGTCATGGTCCGGGAATGGCTCCTAGGGCTGGTGGCCAACACAAAGTCTCCCTTCTCACATCTATGCCGGCAGGGACATTGTAGTCAAACGTCTAGAGCGCACCAGGTTGGCAACAGCTGAGTTATAGCACTGCACACCACGCTAAAGCTCACCGATGATACCCAGAAAGAATGGGTTCTGTTTTATAGAACAAAGAAAAACAAAAGACCAATGTCTTTTTCTTCCCCACTCCACACTATACAATTTTGGCTTTGGTTATGGAACAGAAGCTGCTCCACTACCCATTTCTCACACGGTCACTTCTCATTGTGCAGAGCAGAGTGTGCCGCCGAAATATTAATTTGACTGAGATTACTCCTGAATCTTTCATCACACCCCTTCCTTTGCGCTCAAGGCAATGGCGTTATGATCTAATCTGCATTCTCCGCATGCTGCTTCTGAGCAGAATGGAGAGAGATGGCCCGGGGAGAACGAGGGGACAGGAATCTTGCACGAAAAGATTCTCCCGAGGTTGCCCTAGAGTGGAAGATGGTGGACCAACGCAACTCTGCGGGGCCCTCAGAAGTTCACAGCTGGAACAACGCGCAGGGAGATGACAAACGCATTCTGCACCGTCCTACCAGAGCAGATGGGATGCATTTGCTGGTTTGATTCCATTCATGGATATGACTTTCCATGCCATATCTCAATGCAATTTCACAATAATAACATCAACAATAAGGGCCATAATTCAGTGGTGGAACACCTGCTTTTCCCTGGAATGATACTAAGCCCTCACCACTATAGAGAAATGCAAAAAAGTTGGTTACAGACCCTCCAAGGGTCCCTATTTTCCAGGGACAGTCCCAGGTTTACAGAAGCTGTCCCAGTTTTCTGATCTGATCCAGGAATGTCCCACTTTTCCTTAGGTTGTCCCTATTTCATCAGAGTTATGCAACCCCCGAGTCAAGGAGATAAGTAACTATACAACCTTTAAAGGACATCTGAAGGGAGCCCTGTATAGGAAAGTTGTTAATGTTTCATGTTTTATTATGTTTTTATATATGTTGGAAGCTGCCCAGAGTGCCTGGGGCAACCCAGTCAGATAGGCAACAGCAGCAACAGCAGCAGCAGCAACAACAACAACAATGGAATGGGATGTCTCTATTTTCATCAGAGGAATGTTGGAGGATATGTGGTTAGGCTGCCAATACTGTTGCTGTCATTGGGCGGGAGTGTGCCTGCGCCCAATCCAACCACCCTCCAGTTGGACACAAAGGAGGTGTCGGGATTGCGCTCTTAGCTGTGCTTCTGCCATTTCAGTTTTACATGTTCTTTTATTTTCATCTTTTATAGGAGGCAAACATAATCGCCTGCATAAATAAACAAGCGAGCCGTTACAATAAAACATGCCGACAAATCATTTTCATTTGATATTGCCGACTTCTCTGATTTTGTTGTCATAAATGAGAAACATCACAGCATAATCCTGGGTCATAACTCTGGGTCGGCTGAACAAATGCTTAAGAATTAGAAATAGAAATAGGCGTCCCTCTTTTTGGCAAGGGGTTGCATTTATGCAGCGCATACCCCTCACTGGACAGAGAATTGTGCACACAAGACGGAGGCTGTGTACCTCATCGCCCGACCGAATTCAGCAACTGGGGTTGTTCATCCATAGCTCAGGTGGGGCACTGGCCCCAGCCCAACTCCTTCAGCAGCCCTTTGGAGGGTGGGAGAACCAGTGTGATCACCTAGACCCCTTGTTTTCGGAGGCCCGTGCATATGACAGCCACAGTTAGCACCCACTGCTACGTAAGAGCAAACTGTCTCTGAGAACTGACCAAATGGTACACCCTAGAGGTGCAAGAACTTAAATCAGAGCAGGGGGGCAGTCCTGCCAGCCAGGCCCTCTTCTGACATCTCACCTCCCCCCCTCTTCTTCTTATCCATCCTCCTCCTTCTCAAGTGCTTGGCACTCCTGGTCTGAAGTTCCTCTTCCACTGTGCTGGTCCCGTGGGTTACCCGAGAGGCGAGGTCCAAGTCCAGTCTGTGGTCAAAGGTGCAACGTGGAGGCAGTCCGTAGCAGCTGAAGCTGGGTGCAGGGCAGGGAGTCGGGTGAAGTCAGGAACAGGCATGCAAGCAGGGAGCCAGGGCAGGTCAGGAGCTCAGGCAGGGAAGCAGGACAGGGTTCAGGCAGGAACTAGCAACCAACAATGTTGCTCCCACAACTTGGGGCTGGCCAGCTTTTATCTGCCCTGAGGCATAGGGCGGCCCTAACCCTCTGGTGAGTCACCTCTCCTGGCCTGGAGGCGAGCATTCCTCCTGCGGGAACTTAGTTCCCTCTGCCCTGAGCCTCTGCAGCTCAGGAGAGGCTGGAGGGTTACCGGACCCAGAGGCAACCTCAGCTTCCCCTGACGGGGCTGAGAGTGGAGCACATGCAGGCAATGGGTCCTCCATCACCTCAGGAGCCAGAGCAGACTCAGCTGGTGCCTGCACCTGAGGATCCAGCACAGGTGAGGACCCTTCAGGCTCATGCCCCAGCCCAGCTGGCTCTGGAGGCGGGGAATCCTGTGCAGGCTGGGATCCCTCAGGTTCAGCATCTGAGTCTGAATCCCAGGCCATCACATCCACCCTCCTCCTCCTCCTCTTCTCAGTTGTTGGCAGACCCGTGAAGCGCATCCTTAATATCACAAAGCTTAATTACGAACACAGTTGTACATGTCTAGATGTGGTTCAGTGGCCGGAGCATTTGTCTAGGACTGGGGAGACAGGGGTTCAGATCTCTTCCCATTCACCGTGCTGGATAACCTTGGGCTCATCCTCCGGGGAAGACAGCAGTATATGAGCCCCATGGGGAATGAGGCAATTAAAATATAATAAATAAGCTTTCCTTCAGTTCTTCATCTGCATCTTTTTCAGGAATTTGGTTCTACAGTTTCCTTGCTTTGGAACTACAGAAGCAGCAGTCCTTGCCGAAAAGCTAATTAGGAAAATCTGGAGGTACCTGTGGCGCATCTTCTTCATGTAACTGCCGCATGAGTGATGTCTCTTTGCGGGTCTCTGAGCTCCTTCTCCATGCATAAGAAGGCTCCTAATTTACAACACACATCATCCAAGGCATACCATGGAAGACGGAGGCGAAATGAGCTGTAAATGCAAGCAGCCGTAACTTCTCTGTGCAACATCTCCAGACGCTTTCTGCAACTTCAGCCTTTGTCTCTCGATGCAACATCCTGGTGCAAATGGAGAAATCATCCTGTGCAGACAGGACAGCAATGCCTTAACAATAGCCCGGCAAAAGGGATACATGCAGACTACTAGAATAGGGTTGTGACATGGAAGATAGAGCAAATTGCCCAGCACTGTCTCCATACACATGCTGCTGGACATAAGAACGTAAGAAGAGACTTCTGGATCAGGCCAGTGGCTCATCTACTCCCCAAAAGGGAAGGCGAAAAATCTCAAAATGCTGTATAGGATTTTATTTATAAACAAGCCCAATGCATTTTGGCCTTGCAAGTTTTAAACATTCATTAGGGGTCAAAATGCAAAGTTGAAACAAACTGCTGTATACAGTAGTACCTTGGAAGTCAAATGCCTTGCCAGCC